CCACCCTGCACTGAATCTCCCATTTTCAGCCTAAATGTAAATAAATTAAGAGAACATCCAAGCCTTAGAGCTAACTACTGACCAAACAGAGAACCTAAGCAAACTCTATTTAAAGTGTAAAAAGGGAGATATGCAATGCCATTGTTAGCTTTGTATGTGGAAGGATTCAGTGGCACATGCAGGAATGTAACTATTGATATAAAAACAGGTTTTCTCTACTATCTATTTATTAATAAGTACTTCAAATGAAAGAGCATTAGAAAAGAACATCCAGTCTTCCAATTATACAGATCCATCTTTTCAGGACTTTGAAAAATGGCATAAGCAAGTGCCCAGACTCATAAAAACATCAAGCCTGCAGTCCCCAAAGTCCTGGAATTAAGGAGAAAGTTAAAAATGGGGTTGCAAAGTGTTGGGGCTGTACATTAAAGCACAGGCAGAGGGTGGAACAGGGAGAGTGATGAACTGGAGTAAAGGCCACTAACCAGAAATACACTTTAGAGTCAGGTCAAACCCTTCTTAATTGAAAACATTGTGCCAAAATTAAAATAAAATAAACAAACAAACAAACAAACAAGCAGAACTCCTACTGAAGGAAGATAGGGACAATTTGTGGAAAATGGAAAGCATTCTTCTAGAAAGTCATTAGAAAGTCATTAAGGGGGATGAGGGGGGAAAAAGACCCAGAATGGGATTTAAGTAAAGAGATGTATAAGGAGCATAGGCTGTTCTTTATGCCACCATCACCCCCAAAATCAAAAATGAAAGAATTCCTCCAGTTGTACACTAAAGCAAATTAAGCAAAACTACAGCTATTTCATTAATATCAGTTTGCTGCTGCTCCAGCACAGCAGAAAGGTGACAAACTGCCCTTTACAAAAGCTGCAAAACCTGTAAGATCAGTAGAACCTATTCTGCAGTACCCACAATGCTCTCTCACACAAAGCCACCACCTTCAACCCAAAAAAGACCTGGTATGAAATATTACTATTCAATTAAAAAAATCATTATTTGGTCCCTTAAGTAGGCCCTGAAGTAGAAGGCTGTGGTGAAAATTTATCAGGCATTTTTCTCCAAATGGAATGTACACTCCAGTACCCTAGGAGCTGTATAGTACATGAAATTTTAACGGAATTGTTAATGTCTTTCTAGGTTTTATAATACCACAAAGAGATACTCATCATGTGCTTTTACCACAGCAGATAAATGCTAATGCCTCTAGTACACAACACTTTCACAGAGGTTTGAACACCAGTCATCTTCCACTCTCTTGGTGAGCAAATTCGTGGGATCAATAAATTTTTCAGTATCTCCAGATAAGACTCTTTACCTTCACAAGCCTGATCAGTAAATTCATGATGTACAGAAGGGACCACAAACAACTTGTTATGTGGATTTCCTGAAAGGTTCGTCTGCTCTGAGAAACAGAAAATGTCAAAGGCCTGGGAGTTTTCAGATGTGAACCCACGCCCTGACATGGGAAAGGTTTGTGGAAGATCCTAAAGGTCAGATGTGAGGGTCTCCCTTATCAACAAGGTCATATGTTAAGTTAAACTGAAACCAAGAGGAGTGTACTCCCTGGAACCACAGCACTCTGATTACAGTAAATGTATTTTTAAAGGGCAAGAAGTTTTAAAAGTGATGCTTTAAAGCATATTTACCAGAATAAAGAAATATGTACGTTAAAGAAGTTGTTCTCAGGTAATTTCCAGAAGTATTGCCATTGGCATGAAAGTTAAAGCTACTTCCAAATGAAAAAAATATAAAAATCTATCTGTAGCTATTTATCTTTGGTTCCCTCTGATTGGAAACAATAATGATTTCAGTAGAGACTGAAAAAAAACCCAACAAAACAAACATAGCTTTTCTGCATATTTTAAACTGGCAAACTTTGTATTTATTTTTGTTACAGTCATAAAATTTTGCTAATTTTATCTTGTGACATTTTGCTTTGGTTAAAAGAAATGATGATTCAGAGCCTTGTTATCTTTTAGGAGAGATACATGAGAAAAGGCCATTATCTCTCTTTACAAGGGGAACGTGCAGGCACTAAAATACATCCTTGCCTTTGAGCTAAGCAAACCTTGAGCAGACAGACACGGGCTTAGAGTAGCTTGAGAACATAAGAGGAAATTCCACCAGAATTAGTTCAGCCCTGTCAGGTTTTTGGTTTTGTTTTCATTTCGGGAAGAGGTTTTGAGCATGTACAACCTCCCTTCAACCTCCTCCTGCCTGGGTTATCTGACAAGTTTGAGCTCCTTTATCTGCAGGGCAGCTCAGTGCCCTGCTTCCCATCCTTCCCTGTCAGCCCGGGCAGGCTCTGATGTTCCCCCTGGAAGCACACACTGTCCAGGGAGTGGATATTCCCTTGGGATAATGGGATGTGCTTCCAGCAGCCGAGGCTGTTCCCTTGTGGGCAGCACCCTGGAGCACTGCTGTAAATGCAGCTTGAGCTGAGCTGGTGCAAGGTGAGATCCTGGGGTGGTTTTGGGGCTCCTGGCAGGGATGGTGCCTCCCCAGCAATGGTGACACCACGGGATGTGTGGGAAGGAATCTCCCTCCACCCAGGACCATTCCAGCTGCAGTTTGCTCAGTGGCTGAGGATCACCTCCCTGGTTAATTTGAGGAAAGCTGAGCTGATTCAGAGTGCTCCTCTCAAGTCCAACACCACTGAACACATTAAAACAAGCAAAGCCCCAGCTCTCATTGGAGCACTGCTCCCATTTCCATTCCCCCACTTGCAGGGACACTGATAAGATTGCAGGGTGGCAGAAAGCAAAGCACTTCCCAGGGACACAGCAGCATGGAGCAGCTCCTGGGCAGGGTGAAGTGTTTTGTTTTGACTCCTTTTGAAGCTGCACCCTTCCAAGAGACTCCAAGCAGTACAGGGTAGGAGAGAAACTCCAAGGAATGGAGTGGTGGCTATCTGGGTTCCACACTGGTGCAGTGAGCTCCTCACTCCCTCTGCACAGAAACAGGAATAAAGGACACTCTCCTGCTTTTTGTGATGTTATCATGCTGCTAAATATAACAAAAACAACACCTTCCTTTTTTAAAAAGGCAAGGTTAAACAAATGGTCAGGGAAATAAGTTCATATTCTCCCTAAGGCCAAGTTTCAGCATTATTATGCAAATAGAAATTGTCTTATGCTGTGGATTCACCTGAGGGAATCGGCCCCAGAATCTGAAAACTGAAGGATTTCCCAAGGTGAGCACAAGCTTACAAGCTCTGGCCTAAGGTTTGGTGCAGTTTTGGAGGTCAGACTGTGTTCTCCAACTCCAGCCAAGACCCTCTCAGGGATTCTGTGGCCCATTAATTTAAAAAAAATCCCACAGTTGTCCATGGAACTAGACACTTTCACCAGTAACTCACAAGAAACACTTTTGCCTTGTAAGAAACATATCAACAGAAGATAACTCACTGATTTATTTTGTAAGTGTTGTGTTTTAACAAACATGGAAGCCTGATACTGGGAATTGATGATTTCTCTCTTAATGAATGTTGAGCCATATATAGGCCAGTGTTATGAGGCTCCCATCACAACAAAAGGCCCCTTTTATTAATGGCTACTTCATCATTTAAAACATGCATGTTGTTACTTAAAATGGCAAATTGCTTTGCACTGTCCTTGAAGTGCATTGCATAAATATTGTATTCAAGCCTTAGCTTACACTTCATAAATAATTTATTTTTAAAATACCCTTCCATGAGACCACCAGCTGGCAAGATGTTCAATTTTCTGGTAAAAACATGTATTTATTGCAAGTCTTATTTTAACTTGTTGAAGATTTGCTAAAAGCCACATGTGACAGATGTTATAAGAACTGTATTCAACCCAAAACCTCAGGAAGCTGAAAGCCTCATTCTCCTGGTAGGTTTTGTACCTCTGCATAAGTAGTTTCCTTTGCAGGGGAAAAGCTGAAATCTATTCAAGGAAGCTTTCAAGTACTATTTTCTGATAACCTAAAAATGACTGATAGTAGATTATGTGATGATCAGCAAAGTTTATAGATTTCATTACATTTCTTTTCACTACAATCCTTCCTCCACCATTTCCATTTCATGTTGCTGCATTTAAACTGCTGTACAAACTTGTTCAAAGTGCCCAACATTAAAAAAAAAAATCAAAGGAAATTTCAGATAATTAACTTTGATGAACGAGCATATTTTAATTCATGTCTGGTAATATTCTTGTTAATGACATGTCTGCTTAGGACATCCATTAAAAGTCCATTAACTTAACAGGGAAAGTCTAATAAAGTTATCCTGGAAATTTTCTGGTATATTAACGTTATGGACTTTTAATGAATATCTGCTGTAGGAACTGCTATTAGCAAAGCTACTATTCTAATTAAACTTGGGCTCTGAGAGTGAAAAAAAATGTATAAAGATAACAACAAGCAGAAGTAGCACTTTTTTGAAAATGACTATAAGGGAGATGGGTACAGGTCACAAATCATGCTATCAGTAACAGCTATAAATTACTATATTGTAGCTTTTTTTTTAGCCTGCCATCCAATATACCCATATCGAGTGTGTCCTTCATGTCATTAGTTGCTGAGGCTCCTTTTTACTCCTCTATTGTTGAGACTGAGCAGTACAGAAAGGCCTTCCAGGGTAGGAGATAAAAAATTTAAACACAGTTTCTCACAACAATGCAAAGTAGAAAATGCACTTAGGAAGTCTGTTCCCTATGGATATCCCAGCAACCCATCTGAAGCTGCTGACATTCACAACAGTACAGCAAAATATCTTTTTATATGTATATATATTTTATTCATAGAATCAGAGTGGGTTGGAAGGGACCTTAAAGCCCATCTCATTCCACCCCCTTGCCATGGGCAGTGACACCTTCCACTAGACCAAGCTGCTCAAAGCCCCATCTCGATAAATTTATATCTTTTACATATATACACATAAAGCTTTTTATTAATCTGAATGTATAAGTATATTTATTAATATGAATATATGTGTATATTAAAACCCAGCCCTGATATACCTATTTTTTCATACTTATCCTTCACCAAATCTTCCAAACCAATCATTTTCCAGAAACTGTCATCCCAACCTCTATCTGATGTGTATGTCCACTTGCACACTACTGTACAGAGAGACCTAGAAAAGAGACAATATAGGCACAGAGTCAGGCAAATGAGGACATTTGGGTTTAAACTTTTGACTACAAACAAGTTCCTGCAAAAGTATCTCTTATCCACTGGTCAAAAACTCCAGCAGAATGCTCACATTAAAAAAAAACCAAAACTGGTTACTGTTTGGAGTGCACGTCTTGAGGACCTTAAAAGGACCTTGTGTTTAAGATTCTTCTCTGCTGAAACAACTCCTGGTCTGGCCACTTCACTGCATAAATCAGTCAAATAACAGGCTGTGCATGTGCCTGGGGGAGAGCAGGGCAGGATCACAGCAGCTCTGGAGCAGGCAGCTCAGAGTGCTGCTCTTCCAGGCTAAATGGCTGCTCTGCACACAGTCTGTCCTTAGGAAAACTTTGTCTCACTTCCCTTACAACTGAATTACCAACAGGAGATCTGGATGATGGGGTCAGAGGCACAAGTGTCATTCCTGAGAAGCTGATGTTAAACTCTGCTGTGCTAGGACAGCACCATGGGGCACAGGCAGGAGCAGAATATACACAGAGGACAAGAACATTCACAGGAAAGTCTGTCCTAACACACTGAATGGTTTTTATCAATATCCCTGACCTTATTCCTCCCCAAAATATGAACAATATTCCTGATGATTTAGTATTGCATAGGCTGTTTTCTGTCTGAACACTAAGAACCATCTCTAAAGATCAGTATTAAACTGTGCTTGAAAAGTCAGTCAACTAAAAAGCACTAAAAATGCTAAATACCACTGTGTAGTCCTGGGAATACCACAGTACCAGCAAGTGCAAGACAGCTCAGATGCATCTCGGGGAAACATCATCATAACTGTTCTCAAAGAGAAATCCTGCTCAGAGGTGGATTTTCTTTGATGTTTTACAAGGCAGCTTATTTGTGACTCATGTTTAGCCAAGGTGAGCTTACACAGACGTTATTCTCTTTATTAGGATGGTACAATTTGAACGTGTATCTTCAAAGCAAACTCAGTTTTACTGAAGCATTTGACTTTTTCTTGCAGTTTTGCATAAGCAAAAACCAAATAAAATTTCTCCCTTCATAATTATTTTTGGAGTAAAAGGAATCTTCCCTTTAGTCCAAGAAAACTACCCAGGGATTGAAATATGAATCACAGAATGGGTTGGGCTGGAAGAGACCTTAAAGCTCATCTTGCTCCAACCCCTGCCATGGGCAGGGACACCTTCCACTAGCCCAGGTTGCCCCAAGCCCCATCTGACCTGGCCTTGAGCAAAAGAAGAGAAGATATTTTTATTTCCTATCTGCCAATCAAAGTTAGAGCTTATAGCCACTGATACTGCAGACAGAGTAAAGCCAAATAAGAACAGGAAGAGCCTTTCCACACAGCTGGAAAACTATCTGGGACTTGTGTTCCATGTTTTGGGGGGTTACAACAAGCAGCAACATCCTCTTATGTGACACTGAGCAGAAGATGGGATGGTTACATGGACTCTCTAAACTCCCACTTTCCCAACTGGTACAGAAATGTGTATTTTAAATGCCTTATGTTTCTTTCCATCCTGTTCTACTGGAGTAATCATGTTTTTAGACCAGAGGACAAGAGATGGTCATTCACATCCCACTGATTGTAGAGGTGTGTTGGTTGCTCTTTGCTGCAAGAAAATAATTAACATTGCATATTTTGGGGGGAAAAAATACATTAGTTAACTATTTATATCCCTATAAATAAATGCAGTCAATAAATGCAGAGATTATTTCAGGACCACTCTTAAAAACACTTCTGACACCCCCATTCCCTTCTTTTTCTTCTTAATAATTTAAGAATAGACCACACAATCACAATTCAGTGTCTGGTTTGAAAACAGAAAAAGCATATGACCTGTAACTACAGCAATGACAATGTTGATATAAGGAATTCCAATTTCCAAGGATTTAAAAGCCAGACACAGAAATCTAATTAGGATCTTTGACAAAAACTGGGTGAATAAATAAATTCTAGGCTGAAGAAAATACTGGGAAAAAATAAACATTTTCCCCAAATTGGTTCAAACCTCTCGTTAAAAGGAAAAATAAAGACAGGGTATTTGAAATAAAAAGCAGTTCATCACTTTAGGAAAAATTTAGACATAAAGAGTGAAAAAACAATGCATCAAGTTTTCCCAAATATGGGAAATACCAAATCATAACAAATTATCATCAAAACCAAATATGTCTTTTTCTAATTAGACTGAAGCTCTAAACTAATGCCACACCCTGAAAAAGGCTCCAAAGAACATGTTTTAAACAGGGGCCTGCTGTCCCACACAGCTCCCTCTGTGGAACACCACACCACACACACAGGCCCATGGAATCACTGGGGATGGGGAGACATCAGCCCTTGCCAATCCACAGAATTCCAGCAGATCTGAACTCTCTGGCAGGATATGGCTGGACTGAACACATGCTGTAGATTTATAAATGCAAAGTGCTCACAGAGCAAGGACAAACAAAGGAGTTTTGGTTGAATTTTTAACACGGGATGGAAAATGAACTAGGAAAGATAACTCTTCCCAAATGAATTGACTGGCAGATCTCTAAGTGGAAGGTTCTGGTATGAAAACTAATCTCAGATCTGAGCTACACCACTAATACATTATGTTGGCAGGTTTTTATTTTCATGGCCACAGCAAGAAACTCAGAATGCTTGTTTTAAACACAATCTGAGCATTTGCACGTCTCTGGGATTCAATCTCCTACTCAAAAAGTAGGTGTTTAAAGGAACAATATGGCTTCATAAAAAAACCTAATATCAAAGAGAAAGTGTCATACTGCAGAAAGGCATTCTGCCTCTCTTAAATAACAGTTCAAAGGAAAGGATTTCTTTGTGATGGCCACATTGATTAACATCACCACATGCTTCAAAAACACCTGGACAGGTTGAACTCAAACCTCTGCCCCTCACCTGATGCTCAGTCTGTATGTCCTGCAGAGCTCTATGCAGAGAGAACATTTCATTCATGGCTTGTCACTGCTGAAGTCAATTGTATAGATGTATATTATATATATAATATTTATTTATATTTTTATATATATTAACTTTATAGGAAATCACTCAGAAATTCTCCTCCAGAGAATCACCCTGAAAAGAGGACAGCACAACTCCTAACTTGGGAAAACTCTATTCAGAAAGACACTATGGGAAAAAACCATCTAAGGAACCAAATCAGTACACCTACAAAGAAAGCCTCAGCTACAAGAGAACTTTATATTTCACAGAACTCCTAAGTTTGATGAGCTGAAGGGCAGACATTAAACAGGAACAGTACTGATATCTGCTGTGGTATATTCCATTTTTCCTATTTGGCAGCGTTGCCTCAATTATTTGGTCATAAACACCAGACTTGTGCTGGCTGAAGCTGGATGAACCAGATGGGTTGAAGCAAATGCTTCTCTTACTTTACTCCCAGGATCAGCTGGGTTCAAACATGCAGAGAAGAGGCAATCCCAGAGGGAAGAGTCCTCTCCTGACTGTCTAATCCAACACAGGAGTTGAGGAGCCATACATGGAACCCCTCAATAGCACAAGCCATATGTAGCCAGTCTGAAATACCATGAATTTGGAGACTCTTCTCCTCAAGCATATTCCCAGCACAATGAAATGAAAGATTTCCTTTCTCTGTTCAGAACAAAAAGTTTTGCTTAGAATATTCCTACTGAAAAAAACCAAAAAAACCAACCCAACCGTCGTGCATGGAAAATTTTTACTTTATTTAAACCAGATTTACAACGGGAGAATTATTATGTTTAGAGTTTCCTACAAGTCACTTGCTGAGGACTGACTGGATGTGCTGAAGTTCTGCATGACCAGAATCTCAGCATTAAAAACACTGAGAGTCTGTGAATACACGCTTGTAATTCCCAAAATGCTGTCTGGAAGCAAATAACCTGCAAAAGGATCTGGGGCAACTGAACTTGTAATCACTCAGGTGATCAAAATTTGTTTCTGTGTGGCTCTTCCCACATTATCTGCCCATTCTGAGGATTTTCTTTCACTCTGCTGTACCTCTTGGAGAGAAGGAAATCTGATACATTCACTGAAAACAGGAATTACTGTGTGTTCTAAGTTACTGGCATAAAAAGATATAAAAAAGTCACAAAAAACTTCTCCACAACTACTTAGGAGTCACCAGAGCTTCACACTTTGATGACACATCTCCCACACTCCAAAAAGGGATAAAGCCAGCACGGACATGATTCCCAAATCTGCAGAGATCCTGCCCTGCCTGGGTCAACACCTGCTATGAAAATAATCCTGGAGGCTACTCCTTAACTGCAGTTGTTTCGTGGAAGTCATCCCTATTTTGAGTATAGGTTAGTCCTATCAATTAAAATTTACTAAAAGAAACAGTTTTTCTTTCCTGAATAAGGCATTTCTACATGACCTTCCATTGCAGAGGGCTGGTACAAGATTAGTTAGCCTGGAAAATGAGTCAGTCACCAGCCTGAGAGGCAGAGAACCCCTGGCTGGGGCATCCTGAGGTGAATGGCAGCTTTGTTCTCTATTCCAAAGCAAAAGGATCTGCTCCATTCATCCTAACTGCTCAGAAATGAACCTAAACTCATGAACTTAATTAATTTTGTAGGCATCATTAACAGTGCAGCAGTTCAATCACTGGATCACTGAACTAAAGCCAGCTGCACCTGCTGAGGGCTGTGCCAAAGCTAAATCCTACAGAAGCAAGGACAGGGTACAGTTGGATCCCAAAAGCAATAGCGTGCAGTAGGATAAAGTAACACTCTGCTGGGCAGATTTATTTAAAGCTACAAAGAATCAAAAGCTAAGAAAGCTTTATGACGTTGTGAATGCAAGGAGGAGACCTGAAACAATGGAGTGTGACTGTCACAACATCAAATGGTTTTTCTTTTGTTCTACAAAGTTTAAATTTAAAACAGATTTTGAATTCAAATTGTAAACCAGGGCATAGATTCTGCTCAAATGAACATCTCCACATATTAACATCTGGGCCAGGCTGCCAATAT